GATAAAGAAAGCAATTGATAACAACCAGGCAGTGGGCACATTTTTGGGACCGACTCTCTACAAAAACCCTCTACGTTAAATCACGAAACAACATGCTACTAAAACAGGAAAGACATAACCGCAATGGTTCACTCTCAGTACTTCTTAAGGGAGCTACTCCCTCAATGCCATCCTTCTGCAGGGTTCAATTACGGTCATCTTCGAGGAAACACGAGAATTTATAAAATTTGGAAAAAAAACGTTATCATCGTAGGGAGAGGTTTTGTTTATGCTGTAAGATGAGCGATGGTAGCTAGATGCTAAGGACCCTCTGTGGGTCCACAAAACGACATAACTTGAGAAAGAACACCCGACCATTAGGTTGCCATTGTAATTCACATGATTTCATATGTCTAGTCAGTAAGTTACCTTGTACTTTATAACCTTTAGTCAAACTACCTTACATTTTTTGTATTGAAATGTGTTGTGAGAATTTCTCATGCTCTTCGCTTATAGATTGCACAACCTCGATAACGCTGCGCATACCTTCGTAAGGACAGGAGTAGCCAGCTGGACAAGAATTTGACAGAGAAGAATTAACTACCGTTGGAGTCAGCGACTACTATTACGGCTTAACATCGTTGCTTTTATCTTTTTTTATAATGTACCGTGTTCTGCTCTGTGTATTGTTGCTTAAGAGATAAATTATGTGAAGTGACTCTTGTGAATGCATCCTAGGCATTTGTGAGTTTTGAGATATATGGCGGCTGGAAAAGAGGACGTAGGACATCTATGAATTCATGCAATGGCTGCACCAGCCAGAAGCCCCCCTCTCTCGTGACAGTATATGAGTTTACAATAATTAACGTTGTTTTAGCACAACAGAAGTTTTCAATTAGTTGAGGAACAAGTAGGCCTATAAAGCTTGCAAATATTCGTGAGGAAGCTGAAGCTGAGATAAAATACGTTGAGACGTTGTGGGACGCAATTGTGACGTCTAATTGTTTGTAGACGTACAGCGAACCCCAATTTCCCCAATTGTCTTATTTCACATGGATAAACTAGCTAAACGCTAACGAGTAATCGTGGATGAAACTAACAAGAGACGGATGCAGATGGAAGCAGTAATAGGGTTGAATTATACGTGAGGGCGCAACATTCAATTTCTAACGGGAAATGGTGATCGACTCTACTTGGAAAGTCCTGCTTTGCTTTTCTGGCATTCTTAATGCCGGATATTCCAGCAGCTGCAGTTCAAACTAAAAGCGCTTCTTACGTAATCCAAGTAACCGTGATTAGCTGTCCTTCAATT